GAGAATTTGTTAGAAACACTGCTAGCTGTTTCCTGGAATTGAATTTTTTTGCAGTCAAGAGGCAATATTCTCTATAGTGACAGCCTTCCCTTTCAGAATTGTGCTTTTGCCGCCTTTTATTTTCCCTGAAATCGTAGCAGCTGAAGCCAGACTGCGGATTTTTTACATATAGGGAGATCTGGCTGGTGAATACTGTAGTTTTTGGCAAACCTTTTGTTATTTGACTATTTGTATGTAAAACATGCAACAGCAAGAATGCAAAAAACATACAGAGCCAATGTTTTGAATGCTAGATGTGGACAGAAGGGATCCTGCAGAGGTCAAATTAATCTAGGGATAACTGGGGTATTTCAATGCTTTAGGAAGCTTGGCATGTATTAAAGGGCAACAGTTTAGAGTCAACTGTATACATCTCATTGATTTCTTTATGATTAAGTTTCCACAGCAGCCTTTTTCTTGCTGGCTAATACAACAGACTTCATGGGCTATGAGCATATATAATGTGACATGCTGTACTTCTCAATGGATTGCATTTCTGTTTGCAAAAAAAAAAGATGTTTTTAAGCACCTAAAATTCAGCCTGTGTAGTTTCATGCTTTTGTAAGAGTCTCACCTGCTTTGTTACAATTCAGCCCTGTTGAGCTGCTGTAAAAAATTGCAATCCTGACCTCAGGAACTTACTATCTAATTTAAAATAAGATACTTTAATCAGTGATAACAAATATCAGGGGAAAATGGAACAATACAGGCAATAAGATCAAGCAATTACAAAAGGTAACAAAATTATTTTGATTTTAGAATTTCCCCATCAGATCTTAATACCTAATATTTTGTTAATATTTTTTCCTACCTTTTCAAGTCAGCTCTGCACAAACTGAGCAATCCTGAACTCACAAGAGCTCCAAAAGTGGTTTCAAAATTTTAAACGTGTTGCATTTGTGAATTCTGTCTTGAACTATCTCCCAGGACCTAAACTGACAGAGCACAGAATGCCCACCAATTTCCTTAAGATAAGCAGTTACTCGTACCAGAAGTCCCATGAATACCAGCTACTTTTGAAAACACATGCATTGTCTATTTTATTTTTGTTCCTTCTCATATTCATATATAGAATGATCTAAAGCTTTTCTACTTCTCATTATCAGACCATTTTCAAAATTGTACCTTCTCACAGTATCAAAGCACATGCTCTCTCCTTCAGCAAAGGTATCTTTCATGCTGTACCCATAGAGGTCTGCAGGCATGATCTCATGAAATCACACTGCCATTAGTGCACTTTTTGTCATCAGACAAGGAATAGCAACCTGCCATTATGATTTCCTCTGAGCTGTATGCTTGGCCATCCAAGCCAAGACTTCCTTTGCTTTTCTTGAAGCTCTAAAGTGAGATAACCTCACAGCCCCAATCTCAAACTTTAAGATTTTTTATTTCTGACTTTTGTGCAAATAGAGGTTTTTACCTCAACCAGAAATTACGCTTCCAAAGTTTTGAATATGACCATCTTAGCCTTCTGCAGTATGTGTTTACCAAAATAGCTGCTGGTGATACAAGCTGAGAGAGAGGAAACCCCAGGACATGCACCATATAGTGACAGGGACAGCAGCAGAAACAGCAAGTACTAATTAAAACAGTTCTTCATGGTTTCAAAATGTCTTTTCCATGAGGCATTAACAATTGTTGGTTAATCCTTCCTTATGATTACTTAATTCTGAATAAACACATCTCTTAACTTTGGAAAAAGTTTCTTTCCTCCTTCTCCCTTTTTTAACATTTGAAACACAAGTATTATAGTAACCATGGTATCCTGATGACACAATGGTTACCATGAGAACAAAGCTGAAATAGTGTCATCAGAGCCCCTTCTCTCTACTGTGTGTTGAGTTTTATATTTAATAGAGATAGCCAAATTGCTGCCACCCAACCTGGCCAATTCTATCCTGCTTCACTTGGGTTTCAAAGCTTCTAAAAGCAAAGCTGTGCTGGGCTGCTTCCTTCCACCTTAGCACAGCTAGTTTTGCTTCAGGGCAGCAGTACCACCACTTTATAAGATAATTCAGCACAGCAGCCAGGTAAGAGGGTAACTACATTGCCTAAGACAGTCATGTCCCCAGGGCATACAGTATAGCCTTTGGCCCTGTGTAAAATGGCAGCTCTTGCTCTTTCCTTGCCAGACAAACCAGATTTTAAATCACATTTACTTAACTGTGCTGGAAGATTTCTTTGCTAGGTTAGCAAAGGATCTCTCAATGCATGATTGTGTGTGGTCCAGTCCTGCAATAACTTCTGCTCAGAGAGTGCTTTGTACTCACAAAGGGACACATTGGCTTCAGGGGTACTAGCTAAGTGCAGAGATGCAGCCTGTTACAGGACAAGAGTGCTGAAGTAGGCACCAGGACTCAAGACAACACCGACTCAAGTTGGACATGATTCATCTCTGTAAGTGCTCCTGTGTGCTGGCAATTCAGAAATTGGTTCAGATTCTGTGTTACCACCAGTCTGACTTGCTGTGAACACCAAGGGCTACCCTCCCCTGTGGCCAGTACACCTTACTGCTACAGGGCAAACAGGCATTGCTGAAATGCTGTACCCAGAGGGGAGCTCCACCTCCAGATAAGCAAAAGCTGTCCCAGTTAGTTTCCTCAGAGAAGCTCCTCTTTCTTTTATTGCAAGAACCGCTGGACATGACTCACTGCAGATTGTTTGCTCATTTTGCTATATATATTTCCCAAATGCTATTTTAAGTTGCATTTCTCCCTTATGCTCCTACAAAGTTTACTGCATGAAAACAACTCTCTAGTTTTAACTTCATATTTAACCAAAACAAATGTGGTGTGGTTCTGTTTAACTCAGTAGAGATAACTTGATTTGTATCATGCATACAGAGGGAAAGACATGAAGGATACTACAAAACAAAGGGGCCAACTAAACAGGCATTATACAAAGCTCCATGCATTTTGACCGTTCAACAGAACATTTCTACACCAACCAAAGTCAGTTCCTGCATATGGCTCACATACATTTCCTTCCTCCTCTAACCAGAATCTACTACCCAGGCGCTTCCTAAATCTTCTACCTACTACTTGACTTTTTTACCCCATTGTTTCACACAGTTCTTTCTGTTTCTTTGCCTTAACCTTACACACCTTTCTTGGAAAATCAGAATACAGAGTCATTGTCAAAGATTAACTGCAAAGATTCCCTCTAAAACCACAGAATAATTCAGGTTGAAAGGGACCTGTGGAGGTCATCTGGTCCAATTCCTACTACAGGCAGGACCAATATGGAAGTTAAATGAGATTTTTCAGGGCATTATCCAGCTGAGTTATGAGTACCACCAAGTATGAAGATACCACAGTGTCCCTGGGCAGCCTGTGCCAGTTGTTAATCATGCTTACAGCAATAGTCATAATTTCTTTATATCATTAAGGCAGCTCTTTCTACAGCTTAAGAGTGCATGCCTCCTGCCTCCAGTTCTTTTGCAATGCAGTCTGATTCTGTCTTTATTACTCACTGTTAGGTAGGTGAAGACAGCACTAGGATCCTCCCTTTGCCTTTTCTTATTCAGGTTTGGCAAAAAAAAACAAACCACAAAATAAAACAACCCACAACCAAAAAACGCCTTCAAAAAATCCAAACAACTGATCAACCCTCAGCGTTTTCAACCCCTCTTTGCAGCAGACCCCTCTACTATACTCTCTCTACAACCTCTCTCTTGTGAAGCTGCATCTGAGTTAGGAGTCTCCCTATACAGATACCTTACAGAGGGGAGAAATCGCTTGTCTCAACTGCTGCCTATGCTTTTGCCAATATAACCTGGTATGCAGTTGGCCTTCACTACTGCAAGGGCACACTGCTGATTCTGGTTCAACTTGTCGTACACTGGGACTCACACCTTTTCCTGCAAAGCTGCTCTCTGGCCAGATGGTCCCCAGCTGGTTCTGTCACATGGGATTACTCCAATACAAAAAAAATACAATGCAATATAAGACTTTGCACAAAAGCAAAAAATTCTACATTTCTCTCAGAACATCACAAAGTTTCTGTTGGCCCATTCCTCAGCTTCTTGACATCCCTCTGAACTGCAGCCCCAATTTGGTTTCATTTGTGACATGAGGGTATAGTCTCTCCCCTCATGTAGGTATTGATAAGTATATTAAACAGCAACAGTACCAGAGAAACATCACTAATAACCAGTCACCAGGTAAATTTTGAATTGTTGACCACTACCCTTCAAGCCCTGGGGCTCAGCCAATTTTTCACCCACCTTGCAGCTCACCTATCATTCCATACGTACCCAATTGTCTACAAGGATGCTATAGGAAACTAAGTCAAAAGCCTTGCTAATGTCAAGGCAAATAGCATCTACTGCTTTCCTCTTGTTCCCTGAACTAAACATCATACAAGATGATCAGACTGGTCAGGTATGGTTTGCCTCTGGTAAGCCCATTCTTGATGTTCCCAGTCACCATCTTCTCCTTCATGTGCCTAAAGATCACTTCCAGGCAAATGTCCTTCATAACGTGCCCAGTGACTGAAGTGGGACTGACCAGCCTGCAGTAAAACAGATCTTCCTCCTTGCCCTTTTTGGAGACGGGCATTACATTTACCTTTCTCATGTCACTGAGGACCTCCCTTCACAACCTTTCAAAGGCAAGAAAAAGCATCTTTGTACTGACGTATTTTTGGAATAGCCTTTTGTAGAAACAAACGAACAAACAACACAAAACAAAAGGAAAAGGAAAAGAGAAACACACAAACCCCCAGTCAAACAAAACAAAACACAACTAACCCTCTATTACTGAAGGATCTGCCCTTGGTAGTTTGAGGATACTTGCACAGAGTAAGTGTATCTCCATCACTTTTTCCTTGCATTACCTCAGGACAAGAAAGAGGTGAGAAGATAACACCTGACTTTGAAGCCAAATGTAAGCTGGCCCAAATATGGTTTGGAAAAGCCTTAAGGAAATGTGGATACATTCATTTTGTATGACCTCACATACCTGACACAGAGCTATTTAGCTGGACTTGAAGCATTTCTCTCCTGAGTTTACAATGGACTTCATCAGCTCTCTCTGCCATCTCCGGTTAGCCTTCTGTCTCTTTTATTCCACCATCTCTGTGTAAGACCTGTCCTGTTTAAAAGACACCAGGTAAAGTAACCAAGAGGGGGCAAAGAAATATAAAAGCCTGACAGGTTCCACTGGACTCTTCCCACTAGAAGCAGGATTAATCTTCTCCTTAGAATACAAAGTGGAAAAAAAAAATAAAAAGGATGCAGCCCATATGTAGCAACATGGCCAGATAATGCAACAGTTCTGGGCCTTGCTCCCAAATGGATCAGTTCTTTCAAATTAGCCAAATCTGCTGCATTTATTTATTAACTGCTACTTTCCCCCAAGACAATGCAAGTCCACTGTGATGTTTTATCTGCTATGTTGTCAATGAGACCCTCCTCTTTTTTAGAAATAAGAACTGAGTGGCACAGGAAGCATCAGAGCTGCAGCTGAAGAGCTCATCTTTCTTCTGAAGGAATCACCTTGGTGTTTGAAAAAGGTTTTCAATAGAGAAAGCTGCTCCTACTCTCATTGCCACAGAGCCTCAAAAAAAAAACCCCAACAAAACATTACTCACAATGGTGCTTGTGATTCCACAAGGCTTGCACTTAGGTCTAAGAACTGGGCTGGTGCTAGGTCATAGCTGCTAGCGCAGGTCAGCTGTTTTTCTACAGATGAAATGCAGGAAAAGGAAGCGACCTAACCAGTACACCCCATGTAACACTAACCTCTCTGAGTCTGTCTTGCAACAAAATTAAAATCCTCATAGACTATTGATGTTTACCCTCCAGAAGGCTGATTTGCTTGTATGAACCTGAAATTTGAGGTTTAAGAACAAAAATAAAATATCTCTGTAGCAAAGGCAGTCCCAAAGAACAGCCCCAACTCACATCCCTCATTCACTAACACTTATTTCACCAAAAGCAGCATGTTGTGAAAGCCTGACTGCTCTTTGCTGCAAGCAGTTGGAAGATCAAAAGGGAAATAAAAACCAAAGTCATTTAGAAATTAGCTGAACTAGATTATCAATGAATTTCTGAGCCACAAAATCAGACATAGAGGTTAACAGCAACGCAAATATGGCAGTGTAACAGCTTCAAATACAAAAATTTCCCAGATGTTCCCACCTTAACCCTTACCCAGGATCCTTTACCGGGTCCAACAGCTGCCCCAGACCCAGCTTAGTGTAAGTGCTTCACTCTCAGTAAGATCAAGCTTTACCCACAACCATACCAGCAGATGCCCCAAAATTATTTGGTACTGAAGCACTACCTCAAACTTGGCTCATCAGCTGTGCTTCACCAACAGCTCAATCCTGATCCCACCTGTAACCCTAAGTCAGCAGTCTCTGCCTGCCTACCAGAAGCAAAGTCCCTAGCATAACTGGCAATAAAACCAGCTAATTGGTCACTGAATCTCTAATCTTCACCCTCTGCCTCATGTTGGATGTTAACCTCACCCCAATCTCACACTTAAATCCTTTCTAATTGCAGCAGGCTTGTGATTTTGGCCTTCCCCACCAATGATTCTTTCTCATTGCCCTCCATAGGCTCAAGCTACGCCCTAGCCCTGCTAGAGCATGACTGGGTGGGTGACAAACCCTAATGCCAGATTGCAGCCAGCCTAAATTCAAGCAAATCATGCCCTAATTGGCTCAGCCATATACTCAACCCTAAATGTTGGCCCCTTCTGACAAAATTTTAACGGAGTATCTGGTTGACCAATTCCAACATACTCTCTGCAGCAAGCAGTTGACAGCTTACAGGGTACCCAAATTTTGCTATTCAAAACCAGCTGGGGCAGATTTGGGCTGTTTATCAGAAAACAGCCAACCCCAAAACCTAAATGAAACTCCTAACTCAGCATAGAGAAGCACACAGCGATAGCACATGTGAGTTTAATGTCATAGCTCCTGCACTTTGGTAAGCCAAGAAGCAAAATGGTTCCTCAGAGTAAAGCAGAGAAGACTTGCTGCCTCTCAACTATTCACTGCTCTGGCCCCGTTCCCTTGCAAAGCTATCGTGCACCTCAAAGCAACAAGCAGCAGATGGCTGGTACAGTACCTAAGAGCACCTGGGACCAAGAAGAGCCAATTCCCTGGAATTCTAAGAGGAGTTCCCATAACAGGCTCATTCCAGGTTTTCATGACAATGACTTTTGTAAGGGAAGAGGATACTGAACTAGTCCAGTAGTAACTGAGGGGTCCAGTTTTGCCTCTTACATCAAATTCTGACTCACCCTGCACTGATACCAACTCGCAATTCTCTCCTAATTGGGAAAATCACTAGGGTAGTACTCACTGTCAGAATTCTGGGTCATAAAGTCATTCTCTGACTCAGAAGGTTTACAACAGCTGTGGCAGTGATATGTGCTGTAGGTGAGTCATGTTGAACTGTTAGCAAAAACATAAAACCTTATAAACCAAATACATAAAGAATTGCATTGACCCACCTAAATTGTAATCTTACATTTGTTATTCCATAGCAAAGGACTTGACAACGTTTTATTGTGCATTCAGTTTTCAGAAATGCAAAATGTAAAAAGTAAAGTTACTAAGACACTTCTCATCATATGAATCCAAAGCAGCTTTTTAAATTCAGAGGCTAAAATTCTAGCTGATATAAATTTCCTGGCACGCATTGAATTTGTGGAGGCATACAGATTTAAAACAGTTCAGAATATGATTCTAGATTCATGGGATGAAAACCAGTGTTTAGTGATTATGTAACTGCAAATGCAGATATGCTTCAAGCGCAGCATGCATATAATGTATGTAACACAAAATATGCCATGCATATTCAGAGGTGGAAAATGACCTGTTCAATTTAAATTGTAGGAGAGATTTAGATAGATAAATACTCATGGGGTTTCCAATCAATAATTCCAGTAAAGAAAATTAAGAAAATATATATTCAGTAACCCAGCAAAATTACTGACATTCAGTGAGGTAATTTCACTGACCTGGTAGGCCCCCATTACCTGAACATCTAATGCTTTGACTCTCCAGTAAATTAGGCTAGTAAAACAAACATCACAAATGAAACTCTTATGATATTCACATCAAACCTGGGAAAAACTCAGATCTCCAGCCAGAGGTTCTGAAGTATGTGTTTAACAAGTTACAACTTTTTTAAGGACAACTGATCTGAGGAACAAAAGGAGTACAACGTTGCCCCACAGTACCAAGTAATTGTTGGAAAAAAAAAATGGGCTTAAAATAGTCTTTGAGATTCTTTCCTCCCTCTTATCACTTCACAACAAGAGTGACAGTTCAGGTATCAGGTGCTGGGGTTTTATCAGAATAAAATGAGTTGCCTTTGGTGGAGCAAAGTAGGTTTACAGGGGATGAGGAATCAGCCATGTTGCCTACATATAAGGCCAGAGTCATGGCTCTGGTTTTATAAGGCATCAACTTTTCACCTTCTGACCTGAGTTTTTTCATGCAAACTTCAGCTGACCAGAGGCACACTCTTTTACTTGAACACAAGGTCAACCATGCTAGCTAATGTGTTTGCACCAAGCCATAAGGACCCGTGTGCTCCAGCCACTGTTCAGATGTGTGAAATACAAACTCACTCCTCTAAACGAGAGAACAAGGTTTTATTGAGGGACATAGTCAATAAAGCAAAAGCAACAGCGCTGGGCGCATGACCGTAGCCAGAGGTGCAAGTGATTAGTATTTGTTACAGGTTTATATACTTTCACTATTACATTAATTACATACATATTCATAATTTCTGCATATAGGTGGGGATATTATAAATAGCTTCAAGAATTTATTATCATAAGTCTCCTCCTCTTGGTGTCTGCACACTGCTCTGCGGTGATTGTGGGCAGGATGTGGGAGGATGAAGTAAACAGTCTTCCTCTTGTGAGTAGGGGTCTTCAAGATGAAGTAAGCAGTCTTCCTCACAGCAGTCTTCCTCTACCTTTGGCAGTTGGACCCCCCAGTAATCACACAATCAGCTATATCTGTAATTATTCTAATAACCAGCAAAGATTTAAAACAGCGTGCCCTTCCTGCAAAATTTATTGCAGGATGGGCAGATAAGGAGTATCCCAAGCTAGCAGATGTTTGGGAGGCTCTGTCTCTAAACTGGTAAGTAGAAGGATGGTGTGAAATAACTCATTCATGTTTAGTGGGGTCACTAAATACTGTTATCTCACCACAGACTTACAACACAAACATTGTTCTTTAAAGATACTTTAGAAGACTAGTGTGAAACAATTCATGTTAAGTGGGGCCACTACATTCCACAGACTTACAACATAAACATTATTCTCTTTCTACAACCTAAGTTAAGCTAAAAAAAGTACTTTAACTCTGTTTTTCCAGGCACTAGCTTACCTTATATCACCCCCCCTCTTTCTTTTACCTTTACAAATTCTTTTGCTATGTGACTCCGTTTTGATCAAGAGGTCCAAACCTTAATTTATTGCCTAGTCTTGTGTCTTTAGCGAGTTCTGTTTCTGTTATTGCAAACTCGTACAGTAATATCCACATAACCAATTTGCGAAAGCCAATACATTTATGTGTTTATCACAAGATGCGGGCCTGGGAATTTGGGGACTGAATTATAGAATGCTTTATGTCGGAAAGGATCTTAAGATCATCTAGTTCCAAACCTCCTGCTATGGGCAGAGACACCTTCCACTAGATCAGCTTGTTTAAGGTCTTGTCCAACGTGGCCTTGAACACAGCCATGGATGGAGCATTCATAATTCCCCTGGGCATCCTGAATAACAGGAACAAACCCCTGAGAAGATGTAACTGCATCTTAAAATGGTGTCTCAGTCTTCTCTGAGGAGCGGGGGAGCAGCTTGCAGTCTGCGGCAGCCGGTTCTCCGCCGTTAGGAAGCGACGGCAGCCCAGAGGTGAGGGTCGGGGCACAGCCGTGCCCACCTGGGCCTACCAGAGTAGCCCGCCGACTCAGGCGGCCTCGCTGCGGCTGCGTCGCGCCAAAGAGCGGGGGCCGGCTTCCCTCTGGCCGCCGCCTGGCTCTCCCGTTAGCCGCCTATTTCATTCATGCCTTCTCCTTCGCCATCTCCCTCTCCGACTGAAGGAAAACGGGAGCGCGCGTGGGCGGCCGCTGGAAGGCTCCCTGTCAGTCAAGCGGCCGAGCTGAAAAGAAGGCGAGCGAGGGACAACAGCTTTCCCGGGGGAGGGGGTGGTTGTTGTCCCTGCCGATGGTGTCCCCTCGCAGACCTTCCCAGGGGCAGCCGCAGAGACGGGGTGTGGGGAAGGCGGGAGCGGGTTCGCACCACACACCTTCCCACCACTGGGGGGGCGGGCAGCAGCGGCTCCTCTCTTGCCCGCTCCTCACCTGTTCCCGCTCCACCACACACCCCTACTCGGCAGCGGCGAGTGCTGTCTGGCGGGAGCGCCGAGCGGGGGGGGTCACTGCCTCAGGTGGAAGGGAGGTAGGGCGCTGTGGCGTTCTGCCGAGAGCTGCGGAGGGAGACCGCCTGCCCCCTCCCCTCGCCGGAGGGCGGCCCCGGTGTGTGTCAGTGGCGGGGGAGTACGTGCGGTAGCGGGTAGCTCTCGGATCTCCCCGGCTCTGTGGAACTTCCTCACAATCTGAGGGGCGCTTCGTGGTCCCGGGTACCAACCGACAGGGGGTGCAGGGTGTGTGAGGGGAGGTTTGCGGAGAGGCTTGGGGCAAGTTGTAACGGCTTCAACGGTCATAACGGTTGGGGGGGGGGGGGGTGTCTGCCTGCCGGCGCGCGCTCCCCACAGAGGGCTGAAGTGGGCAGGGTGCTCAGCAGCTGGGTGGGGAGGGAGGGGTGCGGGCGGCTGGCTGGCAGCGGCGGCGGGAGCGGGGGCGCCGGTGCAGTGCGCAGCAGGGCTGGGGGCTTGGTGGGGAAGAGGCACGGTGTGTATGAGACTGCTGCACACCGCAGCGGGCGGTGCTGCCTTTGTGCTCCTTCCGCACCTGAGCGCGGGGCGGGGAGGGACGGCGCAGGTGGGGGAGGGCACGGGAGGCGGTGGCGGCTGTGGCAGATCCCCCGAGCCAGGGAGGTGAGGTAAGACAAAACAAGGCTAAACTGTGCCCTGCTGTGCTGCGGCGGCCGCTCCCAGGGCTGCGAGAGGCGGCTGCACACCTCGGGCTGTGCCTTAGGCCGGCGGCGGCCAGGGCAGGCTTGGCTTTCCCGGCGTCCGCTTCCCATCGCGTCCCGCTGCACAGAAAGGAATGCAACAGGAGCAGCCCAGTCCCCCGAGGAAGGACGATGCTCGGAGGTGGGCAAGCCGCAGTAGCCCGGCCGATGCGCGGAGGGGCTGAGGCGGGGGGAGCCGCTGGTTGTGCTCGTTGGGCTGCTGGGAGTTCTGAGCCGGTCTTCGCCCGCTCCCCTCCCGTCCCTGCTCGCCGGGCCCTGGGCGGGGGGCGGCGTGCACAAGGCTGGGTGAATTCACGTTTTCCCCCGCCGAAGAGCATGCCAAGACACGCGAAGCAGATTCTGGTGTATGCGCTTCGCGGATCTTGCTTGGGAAAGACTGGGGGATTTGGGGGGGCTGCCTTCAGACTGTTATAGTTGAGTAGTTAACTACTGGCTGCAGTTAAAATTTTAGCAGCAACAGCTTTTATATGCTTTTCGGGGATATTGCTGTCTTTTGAGCTGATGTGATAGGCTGCCGTGGTGCACTACCACTTTCTACTAGGTGGCAGTGCTGAGATCAGGATAGTTGGCATTGTAGCTAATAGTGTTGGGAAACTGGAGACTTGCGTGCAGCTGGATTTTGGAGTTCTGGGTGGAACAGCAGAGGCTTCACATGTGCTCAGTTAAGCTTGTTTGCAATTTTTTTCAAACTTTACGTAAAGGTATCTTGTGCAGTTACGTTATAGTGAGACTGTGATTTTTACACGATATTTTGAAAAGAATAAATTTAGTAGGTTAAGCCTTTGTATTACATCATTATTTACAAAGTTTCTGGGGTTTGGATCCAGCTCCACAGGCTACCTACCACCTGATTGCAAAGATTTACGGCTGAGGATCAAATTCTGTTGCTTGTGTTAGAGCCGTAACTGATTCAAAAGGAGTGTGGCTTCATTGGCCTCTTTATTTCATGAGTGTTGTATATAGTGACAAAGCAGGTTTTTTGTTTGAATTTGATTACAGTGTTTTGTTAGGCAGTTTGAGTGAACTCTTTTGTTGTATAAATAATTAATGGATCAAGTTCAAATCTTACATAGACCCAGAGCTCACATTGACTTAAGCAGAAGTTGTGAGGTAAAAAAAAAAAAATAAAAAAATGTGCTTGCCTTATGCTTATTTTGCAGGTTTTTTTCCCCTTTGGAGTACCAGAATGTGGTGCTTTTCTCAGTGTTTTCATTGCTGTGTTCAAATTAGGGTTGTATATCCAAAGCCAAGGATTGTTCAGGGGCATAAAATGCACCTATTGTGAGAAAATATAGCATATTGGTTTGAGTGTGAATAAAATGGACACCATAACTCTCATTTTAGGTTTGCACATAATGAGTCCCAGCTATTTCAGTAGGTATGTACAGGAAAGTAAGCACATGTTCATTTGTTTAATTAATTTTGTTGTTTGAATAGGCTTTATTCTTTGTAATATTTTGTTGCTGGTTTTGTTGTTTGGGGTTTTTTTTGTTGTTTTTTTTTGTTGTTGTTGTTAGTTCCTTTTTACTCCTCATTTAGCGTTATCCTTGTGGTTTAAGGGCTAAGCTTTAAAACGTTTGTCACTCCACTGGAGAGAGAGTTGCCAACTGAATGTTGTGCATGTAAAACAAGTCTTTAAATAGCAAGACCAACAATTTAGTATGTAAATGGTAGAATACACAACAAGAATTCAAATCTCGATGATTATAACATGCATCTTTTGATATTAATAATGATAAAGTACAAAAGCAAAAACATACATTCAGCTCTTAAGGACCTATACTGTTTTGAAATGGAAGAGCTGTTTTCTGTTATGTAGCTTATGCTTAAAAACAGAGAGGGGCCCCCTTGAAAAGTTATCTATGAACATTTATTTTGTTTTCTGGATCTCAAAATCCATGTAGCAGGATGTTTTCCAATATCTGCTTTCTCAGTATTTGGAAAGGCAGATGTTGCTGCAGAAGGAACAATTATGCTGATTTGCAGCACGGGGTGAGTGTGGGGGGAGGAATTGTTCTAACTTTCTGCTTCTGCCTCAGAAGATCAGCCATTTAGCTGTTTTGGGCTTGGGGGAGAGATGAGATAGGGAAGTTAATGTAGAAATTAGGAAATTCTGTTTTGAGAATGTGTAAATTTGCCTATCAGTTTACTTTAAAGAATACCACTTGCTTGGCTTTACTTCCCAATTGTCCACAAACAGACCCTCACCAAAAGTAGGTTTTGTTGGTTTAGTTGCTTAACCAGATCACTCAGTTATGTGGGATGTTAAGTCAAAAGGCAGAAAAAGGCAGTGGATGCTACAGCCCTGTCGGCTTTTGTAGGAGAGATTTTCTGAACTGTAGGTTTTTAAAAAGTGCTTGACAAAGTATTTTTGATGAATGTGCTTGACAAAGTGTTTTCTTTAGTGAAGCAAAGTATCTTGCTTCACTAAAATAACTGAGAATTTTGCTGTTGGAGTTCTCTTTCAGTTTGCTTCTTAGCCTGTGTAGACCACAGCAAAGTGTGGCTGATGGGCCCCAAGATTTAACCTATGATAGGGCATGGGTTCTTGGTTTAAGCTGACACTTTAAAGAGTTTATTTTTAATTTTCAGAGGCAAAGTGTTTCTACATTAGAGGATATTTGAGACTCCCTTTGAAAAAAACCCACAACAGAACAACCAAACACACAAGTAAAAATTAAGAACGGAAGAGCTGGTTTGTACTAATGCATCTTTAGCAGATTAAGGCCAGAAGAGATGCAGAGTATGTGTATGCTACATGTATTTGTGCTACTGCATAGCGAGTGAGCCATGAAAAAGGCAAAGGTCTTGAATGTCTCTGGAACGTGGCAGGATTTTTTATCTCACTATGGGGTTCTTTCCCAGTAATTCTTTTTTGGCTCTTTTCAGACTCCTCCCTTAATGGTACGGAACCAACTTGACCTGTGATCTTGAGCAGCACTTTAAAAAAGCTAGTATGGTAATAATTTGCACGTTAGAAGTCAGAATCGTGCTCCTGTGTTATAAGACTCCTGATTTGTGACCAGCTAGAATTACAGTAAGTGGTTCTGTATGTTCTTGGTTTGTGCCTTTTTTCCTTTTAGCCCTCTCTTGCTTGGAGTTTTGCTGCATGTGACCTATAACATGTAACTCCTAACCTGTTCAGGGCGTGAGCAGCCTTTCATAATTTGTTTCACTGGGGCTCGATTCCGTTTGGATCTCTAAGAGATGGGTGAAATGAAAAGTTAACAATCTGACCCTGGTTTAAGATCAAGGATAGCTGCCCAAAATATTTAGTCTTTTGAAGAGGTAGACCTCTAGCACAAAAAAATATTGTTTCTTGTTTCCTTTCTGATTCTGTATTATAATTGGTTTCATTCTGTGTTTTAGTGCTGTGCTTATGGGTATAACAGCTAGATAGTGCAACTTGCATTTTTATAGCAATGCTGACCTGTGGACACAATGGCATGTGTCAGTGGGAACTCTTGGTTTTGACAGAAGCTCATCCTTCAGGTATAAGCAACTCATTTTAAGTTGCAGAGGGTCTCCTTTATTACCAGATAAACACCTTTAGAGTAACCTTGTCAATCACTGCAGTATAATAAAGCCATTTAGACCATCCTTCCTAAAAGAATTGTATAAACGATGCTGGGTTCAAATAGCAATGAGTATACAAGACTGACAATTGTATATAGAATCATAGAATAATTAGGGTTGGAAAGGACCTTAAGATCATCTAGTTCCAACACCCTGCTGTGGGCAGGGACACCTTACGCTAAATCATATCAACCCAAGGCCTCGTCCAACCTGGTCTTGAACACTGCCAGGGATGGAGCATTCACAACCTCCCTGGGCAACCTATTCCAGTGCCTCACCACCCTAGCAGGAAAGAATATATCCAATCTAAACTTCCCCTGTTTAAGTTTTAACCCATTACCCCTTGTAATACCTTTATGTGCATGAATTTATTCAGAATGAATTTAGTCAGAATGATAGCTGTCTTCATAATCCTGTGTGTGCAAACTTGGTACTTCCAGACGTGCCAGAAGTTCAGACAGATTTTGAAAGTTTCAATAAAAAGTTGCTGATAGCTGCAGTATGCCTAGCCAGCTTGCTAGTTTTGCCCACTGACACATAGCTAACATGTCACTATCCAAACTGATGTCTCTGCACGTACACCGCTTCATCAGACAGCATAACCTATGACACAGCTGGTCTTAATTACACTACTTTTTTAAATTCCACAAATGTTGTAATTCATATATTACTAGAATTGTTCTACCGCTCATTTGTCCACAGATCATGTTTCTTTAAAAGTGCTGGTGGGCACCCAGGACTCTGAAGACAGCAGTTTTGTGCAAGATAAGAATGTTCCTTAAAGAAGGTGATGGAGGATAGAGCTCCAGAGTTCCTGGCAGACA